GAGTCGCGCGCTGCGGTGACGGTGGTGACAGCCCGCTCGCCCTCACGCCAGCAGATCAGTGGGGGCGATTTGTCCCCACGGCAGGCAAGCCCCAAAAGCAAGGGTTTAGCCCCAAATCTGGGTGTCTCGTGGGGAGGAGAAGCCCATCATGCCCGTCCCTGCTCTTCCAGTCCAGCCTAAACTGCCTTGGGGTCCTTGGGGGCACATGTCTGCTGCCCCAAATTCCCTTCTCTCTGCCTGAACCAAGCGGGTTGGGGGGGCTGGAGCGCCGGGAGGACGGGGCCAAGGGGAGCCCCAGAAAGCCCCGCTGGGGGGAGCAGAGCCCGGCCCCCAGGACCCCACGCTCCGGCTGGACTCGGGGCCAGAACCTGCTGCCGGAATGGGGTGTCCCGAGCGCCCCGTCCCAAGGGTCCTGTCCCGAGCGCCCCATCCCAAGCACCCCGTCCCGAGCATCCTGTCCCAAGCACCCTGTCCCGAGCGTCCTGTCCCGAGCGTCCTGTCCCAGCCTGGGATTTGGTGTCCCGAATTCCCAGGAGGCTGACCCAGGACCCTCCCAGGCACCGGAGCAGGATTCAGCCTCAGACCCGGCCGGGTGCCTGGGCAGAGCGGGGCCGGGGATGGGGCTGGCTCTGGAGGGAGAGGGATAAACCCCAAAACCTGGCGAGCGGGGCACAGCTGGGGTCTGTCCCCCCTCTCTGCTCCTTCCCTCCTCTCCACTTTTTCCTCGGCAGCGCAGATCTGCTCTGCGTGGGGAAATCTGGCGGCAGGGACCCCTGCGCCAGCAAGCAAGCGGGGACCTTGCATCTCCGGAGACCCCCAGACCCCTCCCGGCTCTCACCACCCAGCTGTGAACAGACCCCTCTCCCAATCCCCCGCTGGTTTGGGTTTTGCAAGGGGAGGGCAGCTCCGGCTCCCTCTCTTGCCGATCCCTCCTGCCCGTGGCTGGGAGCTGGGGTGGTGGAAGGTGTCGGGGGGGCTCAGCCCTTACCTGGGTCTGGGTGAGCCCCAGCTGGGCGGCCAGTTCAGCCCGTTCGGGCAGCGCCAGGTACTGGGCTTTCTGGAAGCGGCGTTGCAGAGCCGCCAGCTGGTAGCTGGAGTAGATGGTGCGGGGCTTGCGGATCTTCTTGGGCTTCCCATTGACCATCCGCACCTCCGGCTCCGGCTCCTCCTTCACCGACACTGGGCAGAAAGCGGAGGTGTGAGGTCGGTGACGGCAGAGGCGTCCCAGCACAGACCCCCCCCCGGCTCGGGGTCATCCTGCTCTGCATGGTGGCACTGCCCTGTCCCCCGGGGCATCCCCCTCCCCGACAGCCGCATCCAGCGCGGCTCCGTCCCGCTGCATCCCCCCAGCAGCACCGGGGATGCCGGAGGGGGCTGACCCCTGCCCCAACATCCACCCCATCCTTCGGCAGGGACAACAGCCCCTTCCCCAGCCCTGCAGCCGCCCCGTCCCCATCTTAGGGACACTTTGAGGGGTGCAACTTCGTGAAGCTCCCACTGCAATCCCAGGGGAGCGGTGGGATGGATACGGCCCCTCTCTCCCGAGCATCCTACCTGCTTCTTGGGCTGGGAGCTGCTGGTCCCTGAAGTGGCTGTACTGGCGGTAGGAAGGGCTGTAGGAATAGTCGGATTTGGGCGAGTAGGTGCCGGCGGCGCCGATGCC